CAACAGAGTCCTACAAGAATAAACAGTTGTGTACTGGTAAATAAGGTGGAGGAGAAAAGCGCGTGCACAAAGCCTTCCTAGGGGTTAAAGCCTGAGTGAGCTCCTGCCTTAGGGATCCCTGGACCTACAAAGAATGACAGGGAAGCCCTGACTCTGGGAAAAGGGGAAGAGAAAACAGAAAGATTCAAAGAGAAGGGACAGCTAAAAACCAAACCAACTCATAGCAGAGTGTTTGCCAAGCATATACAAGACCTTGTGTTCAATTCCCAGCACTGGAAAATATTTTTAAATCAACCATTTCATAACTCTGTAGGCTGTCTGGAATGTTCAACTTCCCCAGGGCACAGACACAGAGCAGTGGGAAAAATAGGAAGCAATCCTGAATACCAGCTCCATCAGTAGTCCCTGGAGTCTGAGAAAAGCCTGCTAATTCCAAACAGACTTCTAGACCTTTCTGCCCTTCCATTTACATTTGTACTGCTCATTCTACCCCAAAACAGGCTTTAAAAAGTTGGTATAGGAAGGACGCATGCTAAAGAAAAAGGAGCCTTGCCTTTTCATAAAAGTGCCCTAAATGCCCAAAATGCTTATGACATGTATCCTATAATGTCAAAACCCCTCCTCTACCTGATTTAGACTCTAGTTCACCAAAATAACAAGCATGCAATCCTTCAGTCCATAGCAGTTAAATTATATATGAACTAATATAAGGCTTGATTGCCACCTAGTGGGAGAGAGGAGAATAACACCGTCATCGCAAAGCCACAGGGTTTTCCAAAGGAAAGGTGATTGATTCTTGGCACTACAGTCGGGAGTGCTAACTAGCTGGGATATGTGGCAATGTAAATTAGAGAAGTATAGACACTTTAAAGTCCTCATTTTACAACTATGAGATAAGACTAAATGAACCCTGACTTGAAAAGGCGAACACACTGTTAAGAGACATCAAATTATACTATATACATGGCACACAGATAGCAGAGTAGGGTGACTCAAAGGACTGAAGCTTGGTAATAGCTGTAGAAGTGGGATCTTCCACGGGAAGACACAGTGTGTCTGGGCTTTATTTACATGTGAGAGCGGGAGGATCCATATCTCATCAGAAACATAGCACACATTTTTTCCTCATCAAGTAGTAGTTTCTGCATTCTCAAACAGAAAATTTGATTCTGTTTAATTGTTTGATTAATTTGATTCTATTTAATTTAATTGTTGATTAATTCACAAGCAAAAGCAATGACTGCTAAGTTCTTACAAGTGGCTGCCTTCCTTCATACATGCTTACCAGTCATGCCAGGATTGAAAACAGTAGATTCCTTCTTTTGACAAATTTCATTATAGAAAAGGTATTTCCATTTAAACTACCCTGTGAGATTAAATTTTCAAGCACCTGAACTGCCAACTTATTGTCATGGATGCACTTTAATGACCTATGTCCTATTGTCACAGTGGTCAACTGTTTATCACAGAACTTAGAAGTTTCAAGAGAGCTCTAAGAATTCAGTCAGCATTTATTAGTGCTTATACTCACTGATATTGGAATAGACAAGTGAGACTCACAATCTCAACTTCTGTTTCTTCTAATAGCCACTACTAATGACAGAGATAACTGCTTGTGTGATAAACTTCACAGTACCATCTTTAGCTACGGGAAGGCTGAAAAGTCAAGTACCTGAAAACGGTAACAGTATCATCACAATCAAGGCACATCTCCAGGCTGGAGATGACTGCCCCCGATAGGGAATGAGAGTGGAAATAGAATAGGTCTCAGGCTCCTGCTAACACTGTTTACCAATCTGTCTTACCTCAGTTTCTCGTCTACTTCTTCCCCCAGACGTCATTTCTACATACTGTGTTATCTATAAGGCAGTGATTAATTTTTACATAAACGGTGGTGGTGTACTATACATTTTGCTCTGCACTTTTTTTCTTTTAACAAAGTAAGTTGACGAGTTGTTCCATTTGGATATATCATAAAGCCACCTCCTTTGTATTAGATGAAAAGTATTCCATTGTATGAATATGACATAATTTAGTTTTCCAGTCCTGGGAGAGAAGACATTTTGTTGCTTTCAGTCTCCGCAGCTTACACAGCGCTGCACATACATCACTTGACCCCGTGAATCAGCGTGTGTGGTAGCAGGATTGCTGATACACAGCAACTTCACAGTTGGCTGGGGCATTTGGGAGCAGGATCATACTAAATCTGTGGATTAAAGTTTGTTTGCTTGTGGAGGCATGTCTGTGTGGGTGTGTGCACATTTGTGTGTATGTATGTGTGTGCATGCTCATGTGTGTGCATGCGTGTACATGTGACCACAAATAGTGAACACATGTATGCAAAGCCAGAGGTCAACATCAGGCCTCTACTGCTTCCACTTTCTTTTTTTTTTTTCTGAGATGGTCTCTCACTGACCCTGGAGCTCATCAATTTGGCTAAGCAAGCTCACTGATGATTACCCAACGCCATCTGTCTCTGCCTCCCAGTGCAGTGATTATAGGCACACACCACAGTTCTTGAATTTTACATGGGTGCTGGGGGTTCAAATTCAGCTGCTCATGTTTGGCTGACAAACACTTTACCAACAGAGCCTCTCCCCTGGATTAAAATTTAAAAAGCATAATCTTTATTCCTTTTACCTGGAGTAGAATATGACTTTTGAAAGTCATATTTTATTGCTATCTATCTTTTTAGCATATACACTTCAACATTTCTAAGAGAAGATAATCTTTAACGTGTCTCTATCACTGCTGGCCCGGTGGTAGCGTGGTAGTGAGTTCTGGGGGCGTGCTGACAAATAGCTGTCACCCCTGGCCATTGCAGCCAAACTACTGAAGGCGCTCAGGGGAAGAGGGAGGCCTGTGTGAGAAGACCTCCCATGACCCCTGCTGGGAGGACCGCGGCACTGCAAGTGTGGAAACCTGCCAGCATCCTCATCAGCAAATGAGAAAATCAGAGAATGCTGCATCACCACAGCCACCAACTGTCCCCAGGCGAAAAGGACAATTCTGCACGTGGGTTGGCAAGGGGTGGGGTAGGAATGGGACACAAAACCTGTCTGACTACTCTGAATCAAAAAAGAAACCCAGAAGAATCAGGTTTTCTAAATTTCAATAATATCTTAACCATGTACTTTGTCTATATTATCAATTTTATAATTATATAAGAAATAAGTGAGAAAATAACAAATATGGTCAAGAGTTCTTTCAGTAAATATAAAGCAAAATTCCAAGTCCAGCTTTTTACATATATACTAAACAGAGACCCATTGTGTTTGGGTGTGTTAAGCTTTTTTAAATGATCTTCTTATGTGTATGGGTGCTTTGTCTGCCAGAATGTCTGTGCACTGTGTTAATGCCTAGTGTTGAAGGAGGTCAGAGAGAGCATCAGATCTCCTTGGACTGGAATTGCAGATGTTGTGAGCCACCATGTGGGTCCTGGAGATCAAATCTATGTCCTCTGGATGAATAGCCAATACTCTTAACCACTGAGTTCTCTCTCCAGCTTCTCTTTGTATATTTGTATGTACATTGTATGTATGTATGTATCTTTGTATGTGTATGTATGTATGTATCTGTCTGTCTGTCTGTCTATCTAATCTATTCAAGATAGGATCTCACTGTGTAGCCACGGATGTCCTGAAACTCACTCTGTAGACCAGGCTGGCCTTGAACTCACAGAGATCTGTTTGCCTCTGCCTCCCAAGTGCTGGGATTAAAGGCATGTGCTACTATGCCCAGCTTTGTATATTTTAAATGCAATTGATAATAACACCTCAGATTTGATGAAATACTCCAAATCCTATTTTATATATTTCAGAAACATTTTAGTTTTTCCTCACAGATTTTGCATATTCCTATTAAAACTACTTTGAGTGTGTTTTATATTTTTTCTAGCTAATATTCTCACTGGTAGGCTATTTATTTTTACCTTCCATTTGATATTTATTTATTTATTTATTTATTTATTTATTTATTTATTTAGTGAGTGTGTGCCCTCAAGTGCTATTGTACTTATTTGGAGGTCAGAGGACAACTAGCCCTGGGTAAGTTCTCTCCCTCTACCATGCGACTCACAGGGATTTAACTCAAGTAGGCAGGCTTAGTGGCAAATGCCTTTTCCTGCTAACCCATCTTGCTAGTTCCTTGGGGTTTTGTTTGTTTTTAAACAAACAAGGTATCACTGGGTAGCCCATTCTGGCCTTAAACTCACAATCCTCCTGCCCCTGCCTCTTGAGTGCTGGATGATAGGTGTGTGCCATCACTTTTGGTCTTATTTTTGCTTATTTTGTAGGTAACCAATTTGGTATATGTGCCTGCAACTATACACATGGACTGAGGCGAGAGGAGGGCAATGGTCTCTTTATTAATCTGGAACTCACGTTTTTGATTAGGCTGGCAGCCAGCAAGTCCTAGCGATCCTCCTGCCTCTAATCCCTACGTCCTTGCATTTAAAGGTGTGCATAGGCTTACGTCTAGCTTATGTGGTTGCTAGGATGCAATCTCAGGTCCTCAGCCTGCACAGCAAGCATCTTACTGCAGCATCTTTTTACTCAGTGACTACTTCACCGAGCTCACTTACTGTTACATTTTTTTTTTCAGAAGATTCGTTTGACGTTTCCAGTTATAAGTTGAAAGACTATTTAATCTCAAATTATTTTTAAATTATCGCAGGTATTTAAAGTCAATGAAGGTGAAGACTATTCCTTTTCTATCTCTAGCATCTGATCACTTTGCACGAAGTGGGTAATCAACACACAGTTGAGTCAACTACACATATGCATCTTCCTTGATAAAACAGACCTGCTGAATTCCAAAACACAAGACTATGGAAATGAGGAAACAGTATTCATATCATCACACACACACACATACGTCAGAGTATAAGTCTGAAAGAAAAAGCGTATTTCATTATCAGTTCTTGTCAACTTTTTGGCTGTAATTTATTAGTCTTGATTGTTAGAAGCTCTAATTAGGAAACAGATGCATCAAAGTCTTACCTTTTAGATCTCAGGTCCGATGAATCAAACTGGATATTCATAGGTCCAGGATCTACTTCATCGTCTACCTCAGAGATCAGATGCCTGGAGTCACTGTCCGCATCTGCCATTTGTCGCAGGTGCTAGGCACGGAGGAAGTTACTCCTGTATAAACCAGAGAAAGGTAATTCAGTTTAATCTTAAAAACATTTTACTACTTTTAATATATTTGCATGCAAAAGGCATAGGAAAGTGTGGGAATCTGCCGAAGAAATCATTTTTGAAGATGGTGCGCTGTTACCTAGATTGGTCTCCAACTCTTAAGCAAGCCTGGAAGTATAGGTATAAAGCTATCATGACTTAAATGAGATTTATGATTGACATAATTATCAGAAATATTAGTAACTTGAAATTTCTTAGCTTTCAGCTTCAGTTCATTTCTAGGAATATGGCAGATTCAGTTATTTTGACCCAACACTGGAAAAGAATACTTTATAAATTATTTGAAAAGTTTAAAAAAACAGGGAGTGGTGTCTGATAAATTGACAGTAAAGAAAAGAAACATTGAAATAGCTGTTTTATCAGAATTTGAGCTCAAGAACAAGAAGTAAGTGGGTTTTACTCTCTTACAAGGAAGTCAAGCTTTCTCTACATTGTGGCTAGTGGCTATCATATTAGGTGGTATGAAGTAAAACACTTCAGCTCTAGAAAGCTCGGTAGGTTTAAGCACGACAGCTTCTACAGGAATACTAATAACCAACCATCTCTCCTGAACTCACACTTGTACATCCAACTGGCTACTCACCGTTACCTGGATATAACCATAACTCAAGTTTAGCATGTTCCAAACTCGATTTTCTTCCTCAAAAACCCATATATACACTGCTTTCCTAACTTCAACTAGTAGGATCTTGTCCTTCTAATCACTCTGGTCAAAATTCCATTATTCAAAGATATCCAGAATCAGACCATCACCAATTCTTAAAAAGTTACAACTGTTTTCTTTTTATTATTACTGGTATATATGAAATTTTACTTTAAAATGCTTAAAATGTATTTTACTCTCATCCCTGGGTACCCATGTTTAACAGAAATGGTTGAAAACAGAACTTTGGGAAGAATAAGAATAGAGTCTATACTGTCTTCCTCATCTATTGGATGCAAATTTTTATTATATTAGAATTGCCAAAATCTCAAGGCATTAAAAGATTATATATTATGTGTCATATAAAATATAACATAAACCAAATGTTATACTCTAGAATAACTCATTTGCTCAAATGTTTTGTTTTGCTTATTCTATTTTCATTGAAAAATCATGACCTGTACAATTAAAATGATCTAAAATCGAAGTCTGTATTTCAATAGGAGTAGCATATAGAATCTAAGGTAACTTCCAGTTCAGAAAAGATCTTAAAGAACTTCAGCTACATCTCTTTCTTCAATCAGGTTCCCCAAACAATATTTAATGAAAATAGAAAAAGAAATACAAAAGCTGAGTGGAGCTCGCTGCTACTACCCTGTCCTACCGTCTGTTCTACCACAAAGAGCATATAAAGAGATGTAGAACAGAGCAATATAAAAAAGATTTGACATTATCTAATTAATTGGTATGACTTTGGGGAGGATGCGTGTACTGTACATAAGGGGCAGAGATCGGTGAGATTGCCAAACATCTAACAATGCACAAGACAGCTCCCTACCAAGAAATTATCTAGGCAAAACAGCATCATTTCTGATTCTGAGAGTACACACTAGAGGAGCAAGAAGAGGTTATACAGGAAAGACAGGATACCTTGTAATGGCAGTGTTTAACTTCTTCAGTCTAATTCCACTTACAGGGATATTTGCTCTACAACACACACACACACACACACACACACTCTCTCTCTCTCTTCGTGTGTGTGTTAATGCAGTTTTCTGTATGACTATTTCACTATAAAATGCAAAGAACTACATAAAATAAAGTTGATTGTGAGCTGTAAAAATAATTGTCATATTTTTTTTTCTTTGCCCTGTAGTTACTGTTAGATTGTCATTCTACACCGAAAGATAAAAGGCACAAGAACAATCACAGAATGTCAGAGCTGAGGTAGTTCAAACCAGAGCTGATACTCTTCCCCACGGAGCTGGGCGTCTTTCCTGATCTTTGTCATGTCTTTGCTTTATCTTTCACCTCCCGTTTCCTGTTACTGTGGATACTAAGCAAGTACTGTGTTCCTGATTTGTTTAATGGACTCTTCCATCAGCTTTCCTCATTCATTCTTTTCCTGCTCCCTCCCTCACCTTTCACCCCTGCCCCCTCTTTCTCTCTAGTGGTGAGTACAGGATATCACGGGTAGTGGATGAGTGCTCTGCCCCTGAGCCACACCCTGGCCAAACATATCCTGATTTTCTAACTGTAATATTTATGGAAGGATTGAAAGGAAATCCAGGATCTCCCATTCACCTGTGTGATTTAGCACTATCCATTTAACCTCCGTGCCACCATTTCCCTCCCATGATATGGTAACAGTAACATCCACCTACATAAGGACTAAAAATCGTGCTGCATACATTTGAACTCTGTATCGAGAAATGTTCAGTTTTATTGATATGCCTCTCAATAAACAAATAAAAATACCTTTTTTCTTTTCTTTTTTTTTAAAAGTCATCTTTTGAACTTCTCCCTTTTAAATAAAAGTTTCATTAATAATAAACATTTGGGCAATTGCCACTAACATGCCATTGCCTGTGTGACACAGATGCCAGTAACTTGTTCTATTCCCCACATATGTGTATTTTTTTTCTGTTTGTTTTTTCCCCCTTTCACTTCCCTCTTTGGTTCTGCTTTTCTGTCCAATATGTAAGTCAGCCAAGTCCTCGTTAATACTACTAAAGACAAACCACATGCTAGAGAAATACATTAAACAGTATTTTGCCAGAGAAACATCTCTGAGACTGGAAGGGAAAGCCAAGAGTGGCTCAGCGGCAGAGTGCTTGAACAGGATGTGAGAGGCCCTGGGCTTGATCCCCATCCCCACAAAAAGAGGAAAAAGAGAGGAGCAAAAATAATACCATTCCAAAACAAATATTTCACTTCCACATGCTACTCCCCTTTCTCCTCCATAACTCACTAAATAAACATCCAACCTCACTCTGTGTGGCGTGCCTATCCATGTCTCTGTCTCTCGCCTGCCCAGTGGCTCCCTGCCTGGGACCAGCCATCTTTGAAGACCTGTGGCATTGTCTCGTGGTGTGCCTATCCGTCTGTCTCTTCTCGTGGGACTTGCTGTCCCTCAAGGCCCACAGCAGCCACTTGGGGAACTGCACTGTCCCTGCCTGGGACTGGCTGCTCTCAGGACCCGCTGCCCACTGCCTCCCCCCCTGCCCCCCCGCAGTGGAGACCTGCAGGGTGGTCTCATGACCTGCTGCCCACTGCAGCACTTGGGGAACTGCAGCATTTTACTTTTACTTAAACCATGTTTACGTAAACCCCAAACACAGTCAGTCATTCAACAAGTGCTTCCTGAGAACCTACAATGTAAAGAGGAGCTAAGAAAAATAGAAAATTAAGCCCCATTTCCTACCATCAACAAATTTAAAAATACAATTTATAAATCTGAGAGAATACCCCCTAAATCTCTTAAGTGCTAACCCAGTAACATGCAAACCCAATGCCAATGTGCAGTTCATTATTTCAGTTTTAGTGCAAGTCTATACTAGTCCAGGGCCCTAGTTCCAAACCAGCTGAGCAAGAGATCAGTGAAAGATGTAATCCAAGTTAGCGCCTGGCTACTGAGAACAGTGCTTCAATAACCATGAATGTGCAAAAACAAAACAAGATTTATCCCTGGTTAAAAAGTTTTATCGATTGGTCTTTTGAACAGATTCATATATCACACTGTACACTTTCAAATGTGAAGCAAAAGAACATTCTCAACCTTCCTAATGCTGTGACCCTGTAATAATATAGTTCTTCCTGTTGTATTGACCCTCAACTATAAAATTAATTCATTGCTACTTCATAACGATCATTTTGTTACTTTTACAGATTGTAATGTAAATCTCTGATATGTGATCACTAGAGAGGTCGCAACTCACTGGTTGAGAACCAGTGTTTTAATGTAAAGTATGCACTGTTTGGAGAACCAGTGTTTTAATGTAAAGTACACACTGTTTGGAGAACCAGTCCTTTAATGTAAAGTACACAGTGTTTGGAGAACCAGTGCTTTAATATAAAGTAAACACTGTTTGGAGAACCACTGCTGTAAAGTACACATTATTTAAAGGTAATTGTTACTGGAATCCCATTACTATGGTAGCATCTCTGATAACATTAATTTTACTAAAAGAGTTGAAATGCAAAAAATAGAAGTTTGATCTTTTATTTATTTATTTATTTATTTATTTATTTATTTATTTATTTTGAGGAGTGTTTCACTCTGTAGCCCTGTTGGTCTCAAATTTGCTAAGCTGCACCCAGCATGATCAAACTGGGCTCAACTACTTCCTTTATGTAATAAAATAAGTCAATTCACTTGTTGGCCTTAAGTTTAAAACCAACCAACCACCACCACCAACAACAAAAAACCCTTAGATTCTAAGGCAAGACAGACAAAAGGTTAAGAAGATGTAAGAAGTGAAGGAGTCCCAGAGCCCAGTTAAACTCACCTGCTAAAAGTCAAAGCTTGCAGCAAAATGAACAAAATTTACCATAGGGATTGCCTACATAAAGATAATATTATTTTAATAGAGACATTTCAAATGAGAATAGCAATGAACCATGCTTAAGGCCAAAGTATACTTGAATATGGCCTTACTCCTTTCCAGGTGTGTACTCTTTCAGGGAATTTCACAAACAAGCATATAAACTTTATTTACAGAATGCCTCAATTTCCCTTATACAACTGTTACGACCTATAGTTTTTCCTATCAGCCTGCGATTCCCATCCAGCGCACCTCATGGATCACTCTATGATCTTATGTACCAAAGACAAGGAGAGAAAAATCAAAGCCTTTGAACGATGTAACTTCAGAAGCCACCACACACACACACACACACACACACACACACACACACACACACGGCTTAACCTCCGCCTCCCAGGGAAGCTCACACATTGGGCATACTGTCTTTTCCCTGTGCTATCTTCTGTTAACACCTATGCTTAA